ATCAGCGCTTGAGTGAGGAGGAAATGAAGTTGGGGATTTAAGTGTTGTTTTAAATTGGTGAAGTGTCCTCAGAAAAACTGAAGACTTCCCCCATTTGGAGCACACAAATGGGGATGAGGTGTGACATGTTTGAGCCAATAAAATTGCATGCAAGGCTGACCACTTATCAACCATTGGATGCATGAAATAAAGTGAGGTTTATAGTTAGTCTTACAAGCAACCCTTATGCGTGAAAAATAAAAAGAGGGGTGCACAGCTTTGTGTCATAAGAATAAGACTTTGATCAGAATTTTCTGATCAGAAACGATACCCAATGCGCACAAGGTGGAAGGATATACAGTGGATAACGCTTTGTGGCCATTTTAGTGAAATAAGGTTGAAAAGTAAAGGAGATTTCAGCAAGCAACGTCAGCCCTTTATGCTTCTTCCAAGCGCATGTGAGGAGAGATGAAATGTTTGCCTTGTGACTTTTAAAAGGGAACTTGATCAGAATTTTCGGATGCATTTTGTCTATTCTAGCGCACATAGATGGGGAGTAAGGATAGTATTTTGCCAAAAATGGACAGCTACCAATCAAAGGCTGACTAGATGGATTACTAAGGCTATTGATGAGATAAAAGGTGCATGGAATTGGGCTGCGCATGGATTTTTTTTCTAATACCCTAAGGCTGCTGCCCCTTTAACATTTAGAAGCTAAAAAATACAGCCCACAATGACACTCAATAAGACATTAACCCAATAACATTTTCGATCCAAGTGTGTCCTTAAGTAACATCATATTTTCTTTTATTTTCTATGATACAATTATGCATTCCTATACTTTATAATTAATGTTTCTTATGCCTAAAATAAATCCTCACTTGATACTATAATTCAATAATTCCCTAATCTTAGTTTTAATCCTATGCTAGTTCTCAATAAATTCGAAAGCCAACAAACAATACATATATATATATATATATCAAATTTAATTTTCCACACGTGCATTCTTATTCTTAAGGTATTTTGTGTATTTTCCTAATTACGTGGGATGTTACAAATTGTCTTGGACCTGATGTTGTCACTAGTGACTATGTAAGCACATTTGAGGGAAATTGTGGTTAGGATCAATAAATGTGGTTGTTGGAGATGAAATATTGATTGTTGGAGATATTAAATAAGAATGTGAATGAGATAACCTTGGATTATGGCAATGTGTAAATTGGCCATGTGCATGGGGTTTATTGCTAATGTTTATTCTTGTGTGGTTTGGTACTGATTGTGTTTTGCCAAACATATTGATGATCAAGGTTGTTTGATCATTATAGGTTACCTCTCACGGACTCAATAGAAGTGGATTAAGCTTGGAGCTTACGTTGGAGAGCATTGCTTGTGTAATTTAGGTAAACTCTTGGAACCGGGGTTACTCCCCTTGTGTGTTCCACCATGCCCAAGTTGGGGGTGATGGTTGAATGTGTGCTCTTTAATAATGTGTGCAATAGTATGTTCATGCATTATTGATATGCTGATTGACATGCGTGTGGCATGTTGTGTGTAATTGTAGTTATGATCTCTGGCCAGTAGATGTGTTGGTTTGGACTTCTGCCATTTTATGCTCCTTTGAGGAGTTTCGGTCGGGTTTTGCCGTAGAGTCGTCTCTGGGAGTGGCACTAGGTAGCTCCAAATGTGGGACTTCCGCTGGATAGGTCTCTTTGGGAGTTCTAGTTGGGTTTGCCATGGAGTCTCTTAACCACGGTAGAGGTGTTGGGTGGTTTGCTGATGGTGGAAAAATATATTTGATGATGAAGGACGTTCCTCTGTTCTAAATTAGCAATAGAAAACAGAGTTGTTCCCTTACTTCCAACCCAAGTGCGCAAGTGCACGCATCAAGTAATAATGGGTGTATTAATTCCCAGATTATCGTTCCAACGAGGATAGAACTCTAAATAATGTCTTAGACTATTTTATAAAGAATGAAAATAAAAAAGAAAAGTTAGTGATTGAACTGTCTTGTCAAACGTTCCCTACTGTCTTGACAACGTTCCTCAAAAACAGTAAGTTCAGTCTGATGGCAAACAACTCCTCGCGTCATTATATATGTGATCCTTCTTGTTGAGAGAAGGTACGACAATAGTCATTGGAGATTGATAGATACAAGATTGAACAAATGAAAGATAAAATAGTAATAACTATAACCAAGAGACAATAGGGTGGATGGTTTAAAAATAGTTTTTAACACAAGGAATGTATTTACTGCTCTATTCTTAAATAATTATTTTCTCTGCTCAAGACTTAGCACTTTTTGGCTTTGTCCCAGTTTCTTAACTGCCAACTCTGATTCCTCAGCTCATGGACTAGATGGCTCACAAGTTTCCATATTCCCATGGCTCCCTTGCTTCCAACAGGTACTTGGTACTGAACCTTAAAATGGACGAAGTGGCCCCTTATTCCTAAGGTAACCAATTGCCCCAATGACTAAGCTGTCTGAAATTCCTTCCTTAAGGAAGTTCCTTTCTCAGTATGTATTCAATTTCCATTGATACACAATGAGTATCGCTTACTTAGCCAGAGAAATACAAAAAGCTTCAGTACAAGAGTTTTGAAAATAATTCTTTAAGAGTTTTGCAGCTTATCCGTTCCACAAATACTTCAGCCCATGGCTGTTACTTTAAACATAATTATTCTAAACTGAAGTCCCATAGACCCGAGATTCAGTTCAGGGATAACGAGTGGAAAGGAAAGAAGAAACACTTATATTGAAATGAAACAAGAAAGATTACAACAAAATATAAAGTGGAGAAGATGGGTGATGCTCGTGAGGAGTCTTAAGGGGATGATACAGAATAAAAGAGAAGTGTTGTCACTTAACTATAGCTACAACTATACAAAATTAAACTATAAACTAAATAATACTAAGTGATCTCTTCTTAAGGAATTTAATCCCTTAGGAATTCGATGATGTGTCTTCGTGTTTGTTACGTCTTATTTATAGGAAGAAGAGTGAATGGCAATCTTGTAAAATCCCTTGGCGTTGGTTTCTTGACTGTAGGGACGGGGCGGTGGCAATAGTGTTTGGAAGCTTGCAACTTGTTGGATGGGACAGTTATTGTTGAGATTTGCCGTTTTCTTGCAGTCCCCCATGTCTTGCTTTCTTCCCAGCCAATGAGAACTCTTTATTCCCCGCTGTACATGTTTCTTTGTGCTTAATTGATGCACCGCCTCTGCTTTATGGAAACTTTGTTTCCACGTTTCCTGCAAAGTGAACAGATGCATTAAATGAGTGGAGCAGGTGCATTAATTGCTCTCAATCCATTCCCCACTGTGTTTTTGTTACAAAGTTGTAAAACAAGTGATTTTCATGCTGAAGTTGCTCATCAGATGAGGGAACAGATGGTATTTTGTCATCAAAATGGGCTTAGATGGGAACGAATTTACATCCCATCAAACACCCCAAAACTAAACTGTTGGTTGTCCTCAAACAACTCAGAAATAATGGTTTAGATTGCTCAATTTCAAATAATAGCTCAACAAAAAAACTTGAGCCAGTGAGCAATCATAATCTTTTCAAAAAAATGAACTACTTTCCATGGGTAACAAGTAAAAAGAATTTGTTCCAAGGTAAGTGAAGGTTGCTGATCTTCAATCTCACTATCACTCAGGGTTTGGTGTTTTGTCTGTCCATTCCTGGATGTGATTCTTCAGAACTTGCTTTTCTGCTGCTTTCGTATGAAGTGTAGATGTCTTCCCTTCCAAGGATCTTTGATAGTAATGGTTTATGGAGGTGTGGAAGAATAGTGGTCTTGATCATGGGGTCAAGGAACGTTCATTTTTGTGCTTTTGAACTGGACTTTTTCTGTTTGAGGGAACGCCTTTTCTTTTTGTACCTTTTTTTTTTCTTGAAGGAAAGTTTTCTGGTATTTTCTTCTGAATTCTTTTGAATGGTTGTTCCCGTTTTTCTTTGTTTTCCTTCTTCTGTCCCTTTTTGTTCATTTTGGATCTGTTCCTTGCCCTTTTTGGTTGACCTGGTGATGTGTTGGTGACTATGGATGGAATGGAAGTGTTTGTTTGAATGTAAAGAAGCGCGTTTTGGTTGGTTGATCCTTGTTAGTAAAATCCATCTGTTCCTCAGCAGTACTTACAACATCAAGCTAAGTGTAGAAGTTTCATTGTGGTTACACCTCAAGAACGTTCTCATGAATAAGTGTTTGGTCTTTTTCGTTCCTTACCAGCTTTAGTTCACACAAATCAGCATCCTGCAAAAGTCTGAAGATTAAATTCTCTTTACTTTTCCTATTTTAAGCATTCAGAGAAAGAACAAGAATGATTAATCACTGAATTTGTGTTTCATGCTATTGGCTATTCAAAATTATACAGCCATAATATTATAACTGAAATGTATGTACGAAGCAGTTTGAACAAAAAGATTTTTCATTTCAAAAAGAGAATATTTACAAGGGAACAGAAAAGGAAATAAATTCAACATACTAAGATTTAAACTAAAATTTAAACAATTAGGAGGGTTTTCTCCTTTTCACTGGGGACATCTCTTTTCCAAGGTGGTATCCTTCTAAGCACCCTCAGCTTCTTTAGCAGCATCAATTTCCTCTTGCGTAAGTGGTCTCCTTCTGAGCTGATTCTCAGTCTTCTTATTTCAGCTTCAGGGAGGCATTTCTTAGCCACTTTCAGTAGATCGTTGATTACTGCAACAAGGTGATTGATAGTGGATCTCATAATTGTCCTACCAGTGCGAATGTGGACAATCTGCCTTTGAACATCTAACAGCCTCATTTCCAACTGATAGATTCTCCCCTCCAAAAATGTTCCAAAGGCCTTGAGGGCTTCTTTGGTTTCTTTTCATTCTTCAGAATGTTTGAGGAGGAGCTTACTAAGCAGTAGTTCAGCTCTATGGTTATGCATGGAGTTGGAAAGTATCAGGGAATCAGATGCTCTTCTGATCTCTCCCTTGACAGCCTGTAATATTGATGTAGAAGATGCAGCACTGGTGTCTTGGATGGTTGCTCTTATGGCGCTGAGTTGCTGTTCTCTATCTTCCTTCTGTTGTTCCTTCTCTTATGGCGCTGAATTTGTTGGTCCAATCCGTTCCTCAGAGCTTTCAGTTCATCAGTAGTGCTTGTCATGTCAACTTGAGGAACGGGTTGCTTTGCAGGCAGCAGCTTTTCTATTCTCTTCCCCATCATTTCAAAATTTTTAGAAATCCCAATTTGTGACTTCTTTTTCGTTGGAAGGGGAATTGCTGGGATAGGGGAGGAGGATATCTGTTTGCTTTGATGGCTGCTCCTTACCACAGGAGGTTCTTCAGGTGTGTGCCTGGGGACAACCTCTGGTGGTTTGGATGATGAGGGGATTGCTTCAGTGTGCTCCTCCATCAGTGGAGGAACTGCTAATCCTTCCTCTTCTGCTAAAGCTCTATCAAGAGCCTCATCCCTAGAAGTGTCAGGACGGATAACAGGGTAAGAGAGGGGACCTCCCAGACTGATTTGCCTGAGAACTGATGGCTTTTTCTTTTTCTTAGGGGATTCAACAAGAATCCCCTTTCCTATATTAGTTTTCTTTTGTGGCTGAGCTTCTTGCTCAGCCACTGGTGTTTCTGCAGCAGGTGCAGCTTCTATTTCTGTTCTCTCCTCTCCTTGTTGTTGCCTAGGAGAGGGTTGTGGTGTGATAGGTGCTGGTGAAGAGTGAGCATGTGGTGGTGGGGACGGAACGTCAGAGAAAGTAGTAGTAGAGCTGCCTAGGGACGTCTCCTTAGCAGCTGATGTAGACTTTGACATTCTCCCAGCTTTCAGCCTTTTTGACAAAGGCTCATTGTCTTCACTTCCCTCCTCTCTGTCAGAGAGGGTGGTGGGTTTTTCAGAGGATGTTCCCTCTGGCCACTTGGTGCTGCTGAAGGTTCTCTTCAGCCTTTGACTTGAATGTTCCCCCTTTCTTGGGGGAGCTTTGGCAGGGGATTTTTTTTTTGCCCTGTTTGCTTTCAGTAGCAACAGGGGCATCCATTTTCACCTTGGTGGGAGGGGGAACGGTTCTTCTTGCCTGAGCGTAGGCAGAAGTGATGGATTTTGAAGGGGTGGCTTTTGAGGTTTTCTTCTGAGGGGCCACAGGATCCACCTCTTCATCACTATTGCTGACAGTGCGTCTGAATGCTTCAGGAACTGGCTCAGCTGTCTCAATGTATGTACTCCTCAGATCATTCCAGGTTTTGGAATCGATGACAGACGCCACCACCGTCTTATCATCCTCGTGAGGCTCCACCCTAGCTCTCAAGCAGAGTTTAGTGATTAGGCAGGGAAGGCAGACAGTAGTCTTGCTCATCTCCTTCTTCAAACTGCCGTAAATAAGAGGCACTGCATCAAAAAGAGTATTCTTCATGATGCAGTAGATTTGAATTTGGAGTGCCCACTTGACAGTGGCCTCATGAGTGGAGGGAGTGAGGTTAGAATTGTTAGTATATGGATATCCTAGAGATAATCTTTTGATTAGATTAGGACATATGTGGACCTTTTTATATTGTCGCAAATAAATAATAAGCACTCGTTATCCTGTTTCATATTTTGTCTCAATATTATTGTTAATATTTTATATGAGTAACTGGATAAACCCCTTGGAATAAAATAGGTATCTCTTGAGTATCTGTGATGAGATCACGATCATGAGGATTTAAGGATACCAGATGTTTATTCCTAATTTTATGTTCCTAGTCTAGAGACACTGAGAATGGGGATCAGTAATCTCGGGTAAGACTAGCACGACTTATCTACTTGTATTCAGATACAAGGTAAAGACCTCATGAACTACAGATATGGAGATGTCTTAGCTAAAGTCGTGGGTGGACCTATAAGGGTATAGCTCGCACTGAACAGACCCACAAAGAGACTCTATGAGGAAATTTTACAAAAGTATCATTAGAGCAGTCTCTTAATATTTGGGTATGTCTTTCCTTAGACCATAAGTTGTCACCTAGACTGTGTTCTAGAAGGCATGTTTTGATTGTATACCTCGTCTGCCTGAAACGTGGAGGCTCATATGTATATTTTTGGGCATGGCCTGAAAGAGCACAAGCCTAGGGTGATAAGCTGAAGGAATTCGTCAAATCTCTGTAAGGGATTAGGTTATCTGTAAACTGGAGAAATTGGGATGACATTTACAGGAATCGGGAATCTATGCATAGTAAAAGAGATCATGAGATGATCTACCTTTAGAGTCAGTAAATTGAAGATTCCCTATTTCGAACTAAAGCTTACCCTAAACCGCAAGGGTTGATACACTTCCTCACCCTAGGTTTAAAGGGAAGGTAACCGAGACGAAAGGAAATACATACAGCAACCAAATATGTGTAATAGGATGATCAAGTCATTAATCTAACTAGTTCTGGGGCAACAAAGCATTGCTAGTGCTCTGTGTTGTCATTAAATGGGTTATGGGCTTGTTGTGCCCGAGCCCATTTATGTCAGTGGCTATGTTGGACCTAATGGGTCATACACTAACACCTTATTGTCATGATGAGCTAGCATTAAAGGAATTGGGCATAATAATGATTGTTAGCCCAAGAAGAAGTTTGGAAGCCCACCTAAAAGGGGAAAGGGCGCATGGATCATGTAGTGGGCTTGGATGGTCCAAGACATTACTAATTAATTTAATTAGTTAAATTAATTATCAAATATTTAAATTTTGAATTTTGAATTTGAAATTTGAATTTGAATTTTGAAATTCGAATTTTGAATTTGAAATTTGAAATTTGAAATTTGAAAATTGAATTTTGAATTTGAATTTGAGTTTAGAATTTGAATTTTGAATTTAAATGTTTGAACGTTTGAATTTAAATGTTTGTGTAACACCCTCCCTTGTATGCATCCAAGAGAGTCGTTTGCTAAGCGGATTAGAGACTTAACGTTAGCGTGTGAAATTCTCTTTATGAAAAACTTTTTAATTTAATTATCAACAAGAAAAGCTTGCTTCAAAACTGACTTGGAGAAATAAAACGGCTAGAAAATTCAAAAGAAAACTTTCGCTGCGAAACTCTGAATTTTTCCCGAAAACGCTCTGTCTTGAAAATATTATAAAAATCCGAGTACAAAAATTTACAAACATTTTCTTTGCTACTAAGAAACTAGACATCTGGGGCTTTACGTACATATAAAATAATAGTGATTTGAAGTTCGTTTGACCCTCGAAACATAACTCGCAAAATAAAAGATAAAACAGTGAAAATATTACAAACGTCCTGGCTGGTAAAATTTATAATAAATCGAGCTTTCAGAATTTCTTTGAAAGGTTTATGTAAAATGAAACTAGACACTTGGGGCTACGCGTGCATATAAATTATAGGAAAAACGGAGGTCGGTAGCCCCAGAACGACAACTTGCAAAGTGCTCGCAAGAACTGTTCAAAAACTCCGAAGTTAAATACATCATAAATTGGTTTGACACTTTAATTTTCAGAATCACCTAAGTTCAGACGTTATAAAAAATACCATATCACAACTCATTCCAAGACAGAATTCACATCATGAAATACCATCCTTACAAGGCTACATCAAAGCTGAATACACATTATACGTCCTACATAACATCATTTAAACAGTAGGATATCCAAACAGTAAAACTCAATCAGATCATTTCCATGCAGTCACGTCATCAAATACATCTTCACATGCTTCTAAATTCTCCTGCAATTTATAAAAATTGAGCCCCCGAAGGGGTGAGAAAAATCCCAGTAGTGTGGCAATAAAACCAAATGCAACAGTATTAACTAGGCACAAAATCATAAATAGTCACTTCAAAAATTTAATCCTTTTCATCATATATCATAACGCGTATATAACGCCCTTTTTCCTTTACGCTCATAGCACCGTCGTGCGCGTAGCATCACAGTGGGTATTCCTAATGGCTCCCATGAAGGTGAATCCCACTGTGGAACCTATGCGGACTGAAGCCAAGTGTCCCCTCTCCTGGTACCAGGCATGCCTATATGATGCATGCTCAGTCACATGTCCTCAATACAAATATATATATTCAAGATGTCATGAATCAAGTATACATGCCATGTTATGCAATCACACCCAACAGAAAAATGTATTATGATGTAAAATGTATGCATATTTCATATCATCCTTTCATATTCTTACCATTGGCTCATCATCATCATAACATACATAAGTTATCAACTTTAGCTTATTACATGCATCAAGGCTTCATTTTTAACCATTAAAGTCATGATCAATTGTTGGTGAAGCTTACCCAAGCTTAAAACAGAACAAGGAGGTGTTCTTGGAGCTCTCACTTCAGCCTCTAAGGTCTGCTACAAAGGGAGCACGAAAAAGCCACACAAGCAAGGTCCTTTCTTCACAACGGATGCTTCTTGGAGCTTCCACCACCAAAAGAAAGACTCACAAACCACACAACTCAGAAACAGCCCCTTCTCAACACACACAGCACCCTCAACTCACAAGATGACACCTTTCACACTCACCAATGCTCACACCCAAGTGTTTACTTGTTTAGAGGTGAAGAAATCGAAGAAAGGATGAGTCTTGCTTGAGTTTTCAAGGGGAACAAGGAAGGTGGAGGCTCCACACTTTAGAAACTTCACGTAGAATTCTGAGTATGGCCTAGGGTTATGTGCCTAAAGTTTTATTTATAGGCAGTTTAAGTCTTAAGCACACAGTATTGGCACTAATAGCTACGCTTAGCATTTAATCCCAAACTTAGGATTCTAAACCTACTCATTTTTCCAAGATTTGTCATATTTTTATTTGATTTTTTGCAGCACCTTTCCGGTACGCGCTTTTACATAGCCAATATCAGTTCTGGCACCAGTTCTCATTATTTTGACTTGAAACTTGTTATTCCAGTCCTATATATTATTCTAGGAATATTCCCATACTTATTATAATTTTTCGGGATACTTCATCGGTACACATTTATACCATGAGGCAGAACCGGTATCTGCACTTTTCGTCAGAAAAGCGACTTTCAGCATTCTTAATTACTTACCATAATTATTTAAGCCTTCTCATAATTATTAAGGTCAATTATGGAATTATCTCATTAATCACATAATTAATTAATTAATTTCCTAAATTAACGGTGTGGGTTCTTACTTCCGACACCTCATACCATACAGTGCCTCGTAGGGTGTCATGCACAGGCTAACATGAAAGCTGTTGTTGTACGAAAACTCAACCAACGGTAGGTACCGATCCCATGCTGAGTGATAAACCCTTGATTTACCATGGTTTTAGGCTTAAATATACTTGAAATATATCATTAATTGCATGGAAATTTGGGTTTTATACCATAAAGTCACAATAATTAAATATCTTGATAACATGTTGTCATGATTCTTATTTCAAGGGATTTTTTGACACCCATTATGGCTTTTTGGAACCAAAAGAAGACATCAAGTTGAGTTGAAGCCTTAAGAAAGCAAGATTTCAAGTGTGTACCAGCTGAAGGAGGACATTTTGGCATCCATGAAGAACGTTTAAACGCTCAAGATGAAGAAAACAACAATATCTCCCTGAACCAGAGCATTTTGGCGGCAAAACAGAACGCCAAAACGCTCCAGCAGCATGAAAACACCCTTCGAAGAGTACGTTTTGGCGCCCAACAGCACACCAAAACACCCAAAGGCAGACAGCAATACACTGGGAGGACGTTTTGGCGCACAAATAGCACGCTAAAACGCCTTATACGAACCAATCATCCCAAAGATTTAATTCAGATTTGCCAAAGGATACAGATTGCGATATCTGGGATTAAAGCGGAAACATCTC